AATGAATAGAAAATGTCTTGTGAATAAGTTGGCGAAAATTTTATATAGGTACTTACTACGTATTTTTTACAGAATTCGATTTTATATAAGTAAACAAAAGAAATCAATAAACGTATTTAGATAAATAGAAAATTAAAAATCAATAATTAAAACCAAATTTATCATTGCCACCTGTGACTGCGTAAATATAATGACACAATCTCTTCAATTAATCGAATATTTTAACTTAAATCGATGTAGCCACTCCGTCTTCCGACGGGTGGTGTGATGTGATGCGAAATGATAATAAAAACAAACACTTTTTAATAGGTATAATGTATATGTATGTACTTACATAATACACAAAAATAATCAATTTTCTGTCTACTTGATAAAATTATTGTTCATTCAACACTTTTATCCAAACATTTTCTTTCATGAGCTATGAAACATTTGTTTTTTCTTAAGTTTAAATCGGTTTGATAGATGAAGTCGGTAAAAAAAACATCGTAGGGAGATCGTAGTGATTTCTATCATTTTACCTCCGAACTTTCTCCTGCAAACTTCGAATTCAATCATACCGTGTTATTAGCTACTTCAAGTTGGTAGAACCCAAAACTTCTTATAAAAGACACATTATTAATAATTGTTTAGGAATTTATATTATGAGTGAGGACTCGCCTCGTATGTGAACATTTTCTTAATTATTCTACTGACCTTCTTACACGTCAAACACAAGCTCAAGATTTCGGTCTGCGCCACTACCGAGTACTTGAACAATGAGGCCACTCCTGGAACTCAGTAATTAGCATTAATATAACTATGTAAGTAATCACAGCCTTCAAACACCGTGTTTCGCTACAAACATAATAAGTTTCGTGAAAAACACCAATTAGCCTACATTCCAAGTTTTCTTGTCGTTAAAAAATGTGGAAAGTTGTATTCCCAATAAACGTGACTTGTGAGATTAATTCATGGTGGTGCAATGAATACTGCTATGGTTTCGCCGTGGCTACGTCATAATTCATGAGTAGGCAGTTTCGTGTGTCAAGGTTCGACACTCGACAAGCAACGAGCGTCAGCGGTTTTACCTAAAAGCTGTGAAAACTTATATCTTGTCTTTTTGTAGAATATACTTAATTACAATACACACAGGTGTAATTCACACCTGTACTGATATCTAGTGAGTAAGCACAGACGTGGTAGTCTTTCATTGATTTCTTTTTAGGTAAATTAGATATTTTTTTTATTTGATAAAACGACATGCGATCTGACGAACGATGCAAAGATTGGGGAAGTAATGGGGAAGGGCAAGGATTTAGCCTCCGGTAACCTCACTCACACGGTTGTTCGACACCGACCCATTCGCGCCGCAGCATGGCTCTCCCACACTTAAATTAACTATAGCTACGGTGATAAAGAATCAGTAACACATTCAATTAATTCCCACATTTTAACAAAACAAATGAAGTAATAACAGATGTATACACAGACGTATAAACACATAAAACTAAGCCTAATCAATGCATACAGTAGTTAGAGGTAAACCACAAATTGGTCGTAAAATGTCGTGTAATTAAGTGATGTAACCGGTCAACGCAGGGGGCAGCACATGCCACAATATATCTAATATCTATAATTTAATATTACCAGAATATTAAGTTACTGAGTCACTACATACATGATCATTGTTATTAGTATTACTTCATGTAGGACGGAGAAAATTACATAAATCACGTATGTATGAATCACAAATTGAATGAAAGTTCCACACACACAAGTTATAAGATAAAAACGAACATATCGCTACAGATTTCTTATCGGTCGGCGCGTGCGCACATAATCTCTTTTTGTTTTCTAGAAATTTTCGAGTTGCGTTTTTGTTTCTTAATTGAAATTTATTATTTTTTGATCCCTGATGATGATAAATTATTTCACGGTGAAATTAGATAATTATGTATGTCAATTATCTAATTAATAATAATTAAGGGATTCCTTTGCTCGTAATAGCTTTTCTTGGAAGTAGGTAAACCGGTTGTGAATATTTCTTATCGTGTAGCGAATAGCTAATGACGGATGGATTACCGTTTCATTTGATTTTATTAAATCATATCTTTTTATATATTATTTAAATTTCTACATCATTCTTACATTTTCAAGTGTTGCCACGTACGGTGAAAATAATTTACCTCTAAAATAAAGATGATATCCCTATAATTTTAACTATACCTTTTATTCCGATGTATGATACTCCACTAAGACTTCAACTTCTGATTTGCTGGCCTAATTACTAAAATTAAGAGCTCATTACATAGTGAAATAGTCATTCATAGAAGTCAAGGTTACTAGATACACAGAATTTTGGCAATACAGACGAGACTTCCAAAGACAATGACAGCTGGCAGAATGACAAACCTTGTCAACCAGTTTACCTAATGAGTTAAAACAATAGTAACGAAAGAATAAAAAAAAACTCTGGTCAAAGTCCGCTTGTCTATTGGCAAAAGAATAGACAGTTAGTCCAAAAAACTTTTCTTCAATTTTTTGCAAGTCATCGTCATCATTATACCGCTATGAACTGGTTTTGAACTATTTCATAATCATTGATACTATTATAAATTCTTATGAAATCAACTGATTATGTGATCGTCTCTAAATAAATGCATTTCGTTTTGTTTTCTAAGAAAGTATTGGATGAAAGCTACGGATTTGTGTCACGGTCGGCATGTGTACAACTTTACAGGGTGTTGCGTAACAACATATGCGTTTTTATATTGATAGAAAAGGTACTCATTAGGATTTTTTTCATACATCATGGTGGTGGAAAAGTCTAGAAGGTAATTATACAAGTCACTCTTAAATTGCACCACAACTGCTGAAAGTCGAGCCGACGGGGGTGGGGTTCACATTCCAGCCAGTCACGGTGAGGAGTGACGTCACGCCACATTTAAACTATGACGAGTACTCACATACACTCGCTTTCTTGGAAAATTTCACACAAAACAGCTTTACCTATTTGATTTCATAATTTATTTCCAGTAATTATTTTTAGCTGGAACTTCATTAAAGCTCGTTAAGTAATGTTAATTAGGGATAATGGTGGCGGTTATACGAACTTTACTTATTCTGTAGTAGAAATATGCATATAATGAATGCGCAGCTAAAGTATAATAAAACAATACCAGTAAGGAAGTGATGTAATATGCAGGACTTTAGAGGTTTCCTTCCGTGTCCTTATTCCTCTTTATTAATGTATAAATGTCCTATTTATTTGATGAATGGATGCATTACTAGTTGCAGGGGAAGCACGTGGCAACATTACGTATGTTCTGACCCGGCAGCAGGTAAATTACCATTAGTTAAACTGACTAATGTCGGAAGTTGCATTCATTTTCCCATAAACTATACATATATGTACATGTGGATAGTAGTTAATATCTTTCTTGATTTTCTCAAAAACGCTACAATTAGAAATTCCATTTTCTACATTCAACGGATCTAAATTATTATTATCTTATTCCTCTAATGATAAACTTTTTCTAAATTTTGTAGCGAGATTTTAAAATAAAAAAGTGATGTGATTGATTTCTGGTACTTTTTTAGATCGTCTCTACTGCGTGACTGCATTTAAAATAATTTTTATATTTGTATACGTACGTAAGTAATATACCTATAATCATCAGATTTTTCTGTCATCATCATAAAAGTGCCCTTTGAACAGCAGTCAGGCAGTTACAGGCAAAGGATGTCGATGATGATGATGAAGATGATGAATAAAAGTCTGAAGTTTATAAGATTAACACTGGAAGAACTTTGACTGAGGATAGAGAATTGAAAATTGTGACGATAAGGTATCGGGCGACGGCGCCGGTTTACGTGGAACGCGTGCGCACGTAAAGATTACAAATTAGATCATTGATTATATCTTAATAAATAACAATAACGTGAATTAATCAAATACAAATAAATGATATTGAACACATTTCAACGTTGCCGCCTAGGAATTCCCCACATTTTTGCCGTATCGAACCGATCAAGGATCAATATTATTTTAAGCAGCTTAACTAATTGGGAATGTGTAGTGACATAGCGGTAGATGAGATTAAAGAATTACAATATATTGCGTGGTGTTTAAACAATTAAAAGTCAGTTCTGGCTGTGCCAGGTGATAGGCAATAAACTGCTTCTGTAGGAGCTACTAGTGAACTTGAATCAATATGCGCAATGTAGGCTGAGCCGCGCCGGGCGCCGGAGTGTAGGCGCCGCGCCGCGTGTGCGCCCGCGCCCATGCAAACATCACACGCAACATTTGCACTTATTACATTATTTACACTATTACACTCCACATATGTCGTGGCATGTTCTAGGCTCCCCTAATCTACTTGTCCCATGCTCAAAAACCAACTTACGGTATTGCATCATGTTTTATAATCGAACCTACTTTCTTCTCTACTTTCACATTCTCTTCGGTATTTTTCGAATGAAGTTGGTACGTGGTTGACATTGACCCTTTACTGATTGATGATTGTTCCTTACACCTGTCACCGACGTCTGCGCCGGCGGAAACTGCACGTGACGTCACGAAATTACCGGTGTCGCCAACTTTACCTTAGGAGTTTCCAACGCACGCAGTGTCGCAAACTAATCATTATAGTTGTAAAACTGACTTTTCCAATTTGGAATGACCATGATTATAATATAATAGAAAGGATTAAAAGATAAACGGCTATGATGAAATTCCATATAATAATGACGTAGTTTGGTCCACTCTCTCGAATACCAATTTTAGTAAAACTAAGTGTTGCAGCATGTGTAGAGATCCGTCCAAAATTCTTAAGATTCCGGAACAGAGGCAAGTACTTGCTAATTTTCGGGTTGTCAGCGTGATGACGTAGGATCAGCTGTGCAAACAGTGCAACGTCGGCGCGGTGACGCAACGGCCGGCGTGCCGTGCCCACCGCGCGGGCCCACGTGTTGAGTCAGGCTCTGCCTTATAACAGCATACCGCTCCGGCTTCCACCACAACCCAACAGACCGCCGACCGAGTAACACGTAGTGACAGTGAATACAACACGTGATTATCTCTACTGATAACAGTGCTCACAAATCGTGATCAAATTGTAAAGTGATAATAAAATAAAGTGAAAGGTGAAATTATAAAAAATAAAAAAATGGCGAAAATTATTGTGTGTTTAGTGTTGTTTGTGGTGGTGGTGGCTGGACATGGACACAAGCACCACCCCAAGTTCCCCAGGAGTACTGAGGATTATATCATACCTATGCCTAAGAAAGGTGAATGTTTGTTTTTTTTATTTTACTTCCTTGAATTTAAATGTTCCGATCCACAACCATAGAAAATATTTTAAATAAATATCATGAATAATTCAATTAATTTAAGAAAAATATTTAATTATTTAAATTTTTTCTGGTAATTTTGGAAATGTTATTAAATAATTTATTTGATTTTGTCCATAGTCGCGTGCTCCGGTGCCAACGAGCGCGAGCGCGGCAACATCATTGAACAGTCCAAATGTGGAGACCCCAAGGAGGTCTTCGAGTACCTGAAGGTGAAGGCTGCACATGAACAGGTAAATATCATCACTAATTTTCATAATGATTATTTCAAACGCGACATTATAGTAATTATTCTAATTAACAAATGACTTAAGATGCACAACTGTTAAATAATGACACAATTAAATAACTCTTGTAGTATTTTATCTGCTGACCTTATTAGCCCATTCGCTATCTACATTCGATAATTAAATGCCAATGACTTGAGAGAAAAACGCGAATCCTTCCATCATATGTTTTAGCCAAATATTGGCTAAATGATTATGACATGTCGTGCTGTGCTGTCGATGCGGCGAGGTCTAGAATTTCGTCATGATAATTATTATAAGGCCGAGGTAATCTCTGTCGGGACTCATTATTTGCCTGATTAACAATCAAATTACTCATCGTCAAATATGAGATATTATTATAATGTAGGTGTAGTTCCGCTAGAGGTGCGGTGATTAGAGTCGCGTGAGAACCTTGTATTGTGAGGCTGACGTGAATGTGTTTCCCCAGATCAGTCCGCGCGCGGTGTGGGTCAAGCGCTGCGTCGGCCTCTGCGAGTACGAGAACGAAGGCACCTGCGTCGCCACCGAGACCGTCATCCGACATATTCCCGTAAGTACACACTCGCTATCTCCTTATCTACCGACTGCTAATTGTAGTGCATCCTTGACCCACTTACTATATTTGTACAAGAGTACGAGGAGTTGCGCAACACGCACCGTCCTCACAGATAGTAATGACATAACTGTCGAGCGCCGCTTCATGACTCAGCGAAACTCCAACAGATATTTCCAGACGAGCTAAAGCTAATGAGGTGCTTGAACTTTGATGTTAATGAATGTCTTTTTGCTGCAGATTCGAATATACAACGCGAAGACCAACCGGGAGACGTGCGCTACGTACCCGATCGTGGAGCACGTGTCGTGCGGCTGCTGCTCGCTGTCGCCCGAGGAGTGCGCGGCGCCGAGGGTGTACAATCCTCGTAAGTGCTCCTGTCAATGTCCCAACATGGAGGAACGCCGCAGTTGCCTGAGAAAGGTTCGTAAGATAATGGATGTCTGTCAGCACTAACGTACCGTGTGGGCACGCGCATGTCTCGCCCTCGCCGGCCAGCGTCAGCACTCTCCTTTCCCGCTCTCTTAACACTCGCTTCTTTTATTTCTCTCTCGATGTTGTTTATCCTTCACTCCACCTCTGTTATCTGAGTGTCTAGGTGTGTTTGCATGTACATTGAGGTCAAGTCAACACTGGCCTATGTGCAGGTACAACAAGCACCCACTCGGCACATGTCTGACGCCTGCTCCGTGTCGATGCGTTATTACCGACATCCATTGTCTTTCGATCTTTAGCTTTTGTTTTGCACTGTATTACACTTATTTCTTACATCTGCTTTGTCACTATCACTTTTACATTTTTTATTTTATCAGAAACAAACAGTTTAAAACTTTCATTATAAAATCATAGTGACAAACTAGTTGGTTATACGAGACAAAGTTTGCAATGTTTGTTTTGTGTTGTTACAGCGGAACCAGAATATGAGGTGGAATCGGTCTAAGTGCGCATGCGAGCAGCGGAGGAGAGCTTAATGCGAGCATAGCGCGCAGAGAGACAGAGCGCAGCGCGCTGCGGCAACCAGTGATACCTGAGAGGGACTAGTGTTGTGAACCTTAGAGACCTTAGTGGGGACTAGTGCGGGGGCACGGGACTCGTGCCCGCGACAGTGACGCGCCCGGCGAGTCGTGACTCACAACAAATTTGGCCACGACAGTCACCGGTCACGAGGCGGGACTGTGCCCTCGTGCACTCCTCTATATGTAAAACGCGACTGAGTCAAGTGTCTTGTAGACTTAACTGTTCAGAATTTACCAGTATTATAGTTTGTAAGTTATTTATTTGTTTAGCTTATAAGACAAAATGGGGCCAAAAGGTGCTGTGAGTAGACATTGCTAATTTTATTCCATGACTTTTTGGTTTGCTGTCTAATGTACTTAATATTGTAACTCAAATACGTATTATCTGTAGGTAGCTAATTTATTATTAGATTTAATATTCCTTAAAATGTGTCCGAGTGGGCGGGTACGGGTGTGTCAGTTGGGGGCCAAACTCCACTTTTGTAGCCACAAACATCGGAGCGACACTTTTGCCCGCCCCAGGAATCAAACCTCGCACGTTAGTGTAAAAAACTCTTGTAACTTACGAGGCTAGTGAGTTAATTAGTAATTAAGGTGTAATTAATTTATAATGTAAATGTGCATTTTCGCAATAGTTGGAGCGGCATCACAGTTCAGTATTGTAGGTAGAGTAGTGACGGGCGCAATACGGTATTGCGCAATTCCTAAATTGTGATAATAGTTATTCCATATCTGATAGTTAATTATTAGATTAGTTGAGTACTTAAGGAGTAAGTTAATTAGTTTCTAAAGTATTTGCTGTCTAGTCACGAATTTATTTGGTTAAACAATTGTATTATCTAGTACCTATCTGCTCTCTCCTATTAATATATCTCGTATTGTAACATAATTATTTATTATTTAGGTTTAATTAATGAATTTCAGGCACCTCTTGTAATTAGGACCTAGTCTTCGATTGTGCCAAAGGCATAGAATCTCATAGGTTTCTTATTTATTTTATTTATTTATTTATTTGTAAATAATTTACGGAGGTACTCGAGCTTTAAAAGCTAAGCGACGGACATGATTAGAAATAAGATTTTTGTATTTTAGCAATTAAGTCATTTATAATAATAAACATTTTTTTTTTAATATAATCGTTTTCTTTTTCTTAAACTATATTCCAATTTTTCTACTAATGGTTGAGTTGTCGTTTCTGCGGCTGTCGAACTCAAGGTTACTCTCTTATCCTAGAATTTGGAGTTTCAGACACAATAGATACTACAAACGGGGATGATATTTAAGATCACATGAAAATCCAAAGGTTCGACTTGGCAGAAAATATCCATGGCATCCCATGCCATTTTTTGCCATTGTCCTAAATTTTAGGCAGAAGATTTAAAAATAATATTAGATATTTTATTTGTATAAATGATAAATCATAGGCAAATTCAAAAGTTAAAAATAATTTAATTTTAGGTGTGGACGCTTTAGAAGTTACTTTTTTTCAATCTTTATTTAAAAGAGCTTATTTGTAATTGCAAATATGACGCTCTGTACACAAAGGAAAATTAAATTAAGAGTGCAATGAAAACCTTAGAGGAGCCCGCAATCCAGTTTGTTTTAGGCAATGGTGTGCAAACGGGTGTTCCAGTCACCTTATGGTATGCAATTGGCGTCACCCATGGACACCCACAACATCAAGAAGTACAAATGGGGATTGGAAATGGGAAAGTTATTAAGCCTCCGGTAACCTCACTAACTCGACGAAACACAACGCTCTGGATGTCTCACGCCGGTATTCAGTGAGGCTGTGGTATCACTCTGGTCGAGCCTTTTTGTGGCTGAGTCATGTCTCTCCCACACTTATCCATGTATGTAGTCCACAAAAAGTTATACGTAGTCCCGGTGTGATGTGTATTTAAATGTTGAAATTAAAAGCACCCATGATACTGAAAAAAATAATAGCGTAGGGTATAAAACATCCTGCTTAACATGCGTGTTATTTTAAGTTAGTGTCTATCTAAGCGTATTGTGTAGATTCATGACATGAATATCATGTTATTATCAGTTGCATCAATAAAGATAAGCTGGTGCAGCAGCACTGGTGTGCAGTCAGGGGCGTGGTTACTGCATGCACACAGGTTCGTTTCAGGCTGATCTGTAAAGTGTTACATTGAAACTCATGAGAGATTTACAAAATAGTACATAAACACAATAATACATATATACACAATAATATGTACAATAATACATAATCTCCATTTAAAATCTTTGTCCTTTGGGCAGTCTTGTTGACTATACTACTATAAAAATATAATTTGTGATTAAGAAGTTAAATGTACGTTTGCAGTTGCCATTTCCCTGAAAATAGCAATTAACAGGGCAAGCGCCTAACCTTATAGCACATTTTTGTCAAAGTCATTTGAAATTCAAAGTTCTTTTCATACTGTTGTTTTAAGTCATATGGGCTGACTCGACCGGTGTAACACACCGGCGTGATCGTTTGCGTTGTTTTTCACTGCCGAGAGGTTGAAGTTACCGGAGGCTGAACTCTCCTCTATTCCTAATCCACGAAACGCGAATCATCAAGTCCTTAAAACCTTACAAAAATTCAACAACGCAGTTACAAATTCATTGGTGTTTCAAGTGTCTATGGCTTTCCATCAGGAAATACTCGTTTATCGACCTAATAATAATAATAATTTCTGGCATCTTATGAGTATGGTAGAGTAATCCTTAATAAACAAAAAATATCCATTAGGGACAGCTGGGTGGTAACTTCAGTATCACGTGATGTACAGAACCTCGTGATTGAGGAGCTGATCTTTAACCTCATCACCTGACATATATAGGTACATGCATATACATATAATCAACAATCGTATGACACACGCCAATCACACAAATGTTATGCAATTATCACATTACAGATCATTATACAAATGTACCTACATGCGTAAGTCACACTTTGCGCTGTCACTGAAAGCGACTTTTTTCGAAAGGGATCGAGACATTTTTTTGTTAATGTCATAAGTTGGCAAACGCGCGGATTACCAGGTGGTAACCAATCAGCGTCGCCGTGGTTACTATAAGTGCGATGCCGGCCTCTTGTGGGTCATTAGGGATTTAAGTATAAGGCATTTGAGGGTTGAGAATGGGGGGAAGGATTAGGACTCCAGTAACCTCTCTCACAAAGTGAAACACAACGTATGTAAGTATTGCTTGACGCCGGTTTTCTGTGAGGCCGTGGTATTACTACACATGTGACAATTTTACTGTAATATTACCTTATTATTGTCCCTGTTTAATGTTCTACACAATGTTTATTGTTTTCGTGCGGGAACATGGCTCTCCCTGACTACATACAACGCTTTACGATCTATTAAATGCAAAGAAACTAACAATTCATTTTTTCTTTAGGTGGTACTTACTTAAAGTCTAAAAAGGTAACCCTATTACTAAGACTTCAAAGAATCTGTCTGTTTGTCCAGATTTCACAAAGTTTTATCAAGCTAGCGAGGTAGTTGCAAGTTGGAAATATGACGTATTCGAGAAATACTTAAAACAATTTAAGATTAAGAACTTTAGGGAATCTTCAGCCGGGACGGGAATCGTGGGGGGGATGATTATGTAAGTAAGAGTCTAATACTCCCTTTCGCCTCAACATGATCGGGAGAAGTCATTTGATGATTTTCTTCACAAGAAAGGCAAGCATCATTGACAAACGTGATTTAAGTACCGTTTCAATAGCAATGTTTAAACACACCCACTTTGAAGATCGACAGTTGTGATGACATGGCTGCCCTTAATCACTACATGGTAAGCTGATTACTTGATTTACATACATGTGTAGTAAAGATACACACACAAAACACATAGTAACACGTGTTTTACAAAGTCGGTGGTCAGTGTTGTTCGCGCACACTTCACGACGGTACACACATGCAAGTCAAGCTATTCTGCAATGAGAAATTTCGTTGATTCATTCTAAATTTTAAACCTTTGTGATAAAGTCTAGAATTGGTTAAAAAAATCCCTTGGGATAGTTTGATGTGCGGCTGTCTCCCATAGAGTGCGAGTGCCCGCACACATTGATGTTCGACATTTAACAATGATAAGATATTTATTGTTATCGGAATTAGTTTCTTTGATTCATCACAATTTATCGGCTGTAATCTTATTTATAGGCTTATGGGAGCTGCATGATTTGGTCGTTAACATACATAGAGGGAGCTAAATGAAAAATATTAACGGTGTCTGTTTCTCTACAACAGGTTAAATACTTGATATGAAGTGGTGTTTTATAACTGATTGCTTCCCATCGTCTATATTTAAACTCTGCAGACTGCACTGTTGGCTCGTTGACTTTGATTCCAGCACAGAACAACTCATTGTGCGATGTACAAATTGACGTTCCGGGTTTTTCGTCAGGGTAACATCTTAAAATGACTTCTATCGCCCAGTAGAGAGAGTGTCAGACTCTTACTGACTAAAACACCCCCGTTCCTTCTCCTGGTCTGCACCGAGGCCGCAGTGCAACATTGCTCCTACCCTGCAACCCCGGCTGCGTGTGGTGATGTGATGTGTATTATTTTTTATGCAATCGGGCCGCAAACGAGCTTTCGGATGGTAAGCAATCAGCGCCGCCCATGGACACCCGCAACAACAGAGGAGTAACGATTAAATCCCAATCCCTATTCCGTAAAACTGAAATCTCCTCCGTTATTGCGGGTGTCCACGGACGGCGTTGATTGCTCCCCGCCACTTGGCCTACCTCTTCGCCATCCTGCCACATCAACAAGCTATTTGAAAATACTAATATTCATATAGAATCGGGAACAACTTATGAAAATCGGTGTAAGCGTGTGAGATCCACGGAGTGAGCGTGTGTAGATCCCACAGGCGAAACCGCCACAAGAAAACTATTTCACAAAACGACGATATCTTGAAAGACATCAAAAATAATAATTAAAGAACTGGTTTACCACAATTAGGTTTATACTAAAACATTACCTAAAGTGATTTATATGTATTGCAACAAAATTGCATAACAATACAACATTGTGCTTCATAAATTGTTAATGAACAGGAAAATTATTTTAAAACTGATAACGATTCGCTTCCTAATGACTTGTGATTAGTACATTGGATTTACCAATATATTCATAAGTTGGTGTAATGTTATTTATGTAATAATTACAAAAGATACACTATCATATTGCATGCTTCGTGTAGACGTCAGTGATATAGTGTTTGATTGCTGCACAAAGCTGTGAGTGCAATTACCACTTTATACAAAAATTGTATGATTTATTTTATCAAAATATATCTATCTAATCCTACTGATATTATAAACGCGAAACTTCTACGTTATTATAGATATTTACGTCTATTTTACTTGAAAACTACTGAATGGATTTTAGTGCAATTTTGCATAGAGATAAATTATAGTCTAGAACACCATCCTTTATCCTAGTAATGCGACTGAAGCTACTGGCAAAAGCTAGAAATATTATTATTAAAGGGTTGTGGAGAGTTAGATAGTTAATGGAAACTGGTTAAAACCGACCAACTCCAGTCTAGTTTTTCTACATTGTAATATCTATCAACAAATGGATAGACACTAGATTGATTTTCATTGTTACATAAATACGGAACAGGGAAAATCCCCTGCACAATATGTCCGCTGTACCCATACGAGCGGGAATTTTGTTTCATAAATAAACCAAAAACTAATTTGCTTTTATTACACTCAATTAATATTATAATGTCGTCCGAATTTGAATTTATGATCATATTTTGCATACTAATTACAATCGTGGAGTTATTTATATAAATTGATGTGCGGTTTTAAAGATTCCTTTTGAGTACATTTTTTTGTGTTTATATTGAATATCAATGTTGTTTACTTATATCAAATCTAGGACGGTGAAGCAATATCCTGTTTCACAAATAGAGGCTAGATTCTGCATAAATAATAATTTACAAATTTTTGTGTTGCAGTTAGGAAAATACTCATTTTTTGTAATTAG